AAGAAAATTCTACAAGTAATGATAACAGATCATGGTAGTGGTACACATCTTTACATACAGGTAAAATACTAGAACATTCATAGACAGTAGTCTTTATAGACAGGTCATATTGGGATATACACTAGAATAGTGGCCGTTATACACAGGCAGAGCTAGGACACAGTAGAACAGTGGTCTTTATAAAAAGGCAGAGCTCGGACACTCTAGAACAGTGGCCTTTATACACAGGCAGAACTAAGACACAGTAGAACACTGGGCTTTATACACAGGCAGAACGAAGACACAGCAGAACACTGGGCTTTATACACAGGCAGAGCTAGGACACCGTAGAACACTGGGCTTTATACACAGGCAGAACTAAGACACAGTTTAACACTGGGCTTTATACACAGGCAGAACGAAGACACAGCAGAACACTGGGCTTTATACACAGGCAGAGCTAGGACACTGTAGAACACTGGGCTTTATACACAGGCAGAACTAAGACACAGTTTAACACTGGGCTTTATACACAGGCAGAACTAAGACACAGTAGAACACTGGGCTTTATACACAGGCAGAACGAAGACACAGTAGAACACTGGGCTTTATACAGACGCAGAACTAAGACACTGTAGAACACTGGGCTTTATACACAGGCAGAACTAAGACACAGTAGAACACTGGGCTTTATACAGACGCAGAACTAAGACACTGTAGAACACTGGGCTTTATACACAGGCAGAACGAAGACACATAAGAACACTGGGCTTTATACACAGGCAGAACGAAGATACATAAGAACACTGGGCTTTATACACAGGCAGAACGAAGACACATAAGAACACTGGGCTTTATACACAGGCAGAACTAAGACACAGCAGAACACTGGGCTTTATACACAGGCAGAACTAAGACACAGTAGAACACTGGGCTTTACACACCGGCAGATCTAAGACACAGTAGAACACTGGGCTTTATACACCGGCAGAACTAAGACACATAAGAACACTGGGCTTTATACACAGGCAGATCTAAGACACAGTATAACACTGGGCTTTATACACAGGCAGTTCTAAGACACATAAGAACACTGGGCTTTATACACAGGCAGAACTAAGACACAGTAGAACACTGGGCTTTATACACAGGCAGAACTAAGACACATAAGAACACTGGGCTTTATACACAGGCAGAACTAAGACACAGTATAACACTGGGCTTTATACACAGGCAGAACTAAGACACAGTATAACACTGGGCTTTACACACCGGCAGAACTAAGACACTGTAGAACACTGGGCTTTATACACCGGCAGAACTAAGACACATAAGAACACTGGGCTTTATACACAGGCAGATCTAAGACACAGTATAACACTGGGCTTTATACACAGGCAGTTCTAAGACACATAAGAACACTGGGCTTTACACACCGGCAGAACTAAGACACATAAGAACACTGGGCTTTATACACAGACAGATCTAAGACACATAAGAACACTGGGCTTTATACACAGGCAGAACTAAGACACAGTATAACACTGGGCTTTATACACACGCAGAACTAAGACACTGTAGAACACTGGGCTTTATACACAGGCAGAACTAAGATACTGTAGAACCCTGGGCTTTATAGATAGGCATTGTTAGGATTCATTTGGACAGTTGTCTTTATTAACAGATAGTATCACGAAAGGCTAGAACAGTCCTCTCCGTTAAGAGGCAGTAGCTGGACACAAATAGAATAGTGGTCTTTACAAAGATCCCAGAGGGCTCTTCACACCCACCTTTGTTTTGTTTTTTATTTGTTCTTTGAAAGTAAGATCTTTTCCCTTATTTTTATTCTTCTCTTCTTTGTTTTTGCTCTTAATGAGAAGAAATTTGAACATTCCTTTGCAAAAATAGCAATAACAATCTTTAAAAGTCAAAATCCAAGTTGTTTTTATGACTAGTCCCAAAATCAAATAGGCACAACTGGGGACCATGGGGAACCTATAGATAAAATTTAAGTAAGGTCCATCCAGCACTTCTCAAGAAATAGCAATAACAAAAATGGTCTTTAAAGACAGGCAGTAATGGATACTCTAGAACAGTGGTCTTTATAGTCGCTGGCTATCTGTGAATGGTACTCTCACTTATTGTGTCAGGTAATGGTTAATCACAGCTGATGACCAAAGTTAATTAACTGCTAACTGACTTTTGAAAACATACAACTGCATTAGATGGTGAAAATGTACTACCACAATGGGGATCAAACCAGGGACCCTCCGAATTGAGCTACGTAGTGGTCGCAAATCAACCAACTCCAGATCTGCTATATTCCTCCCTCCTTCTCATAAGTCCTCACACCCAAAGACATAACTATCTACAATCAATGTTTGGGTATCCCCTTAATGTACAGCATTCACCAACTTGAAAAGAAGCCACAAGCACCAAATGTACACAATAGGAGAAGAAAAATATGTGGCCAGAGTAGGGTTTGAACTAGTGTTCCTCAGGTCTCTGGCCAGAAAATCTACCACTTAATAGAAATTATCAGCAGCCTAGGCTTATAAGGTGACCTGAAATCTCTCTTTATACAAAACGTCAGAGCAAATGAACATAAACAAGGTCTCTTGAATTTTCAACGTCCAAGAGCCATAACATTGAAAGACTAACCAAGAGTCACATTGCTTCTTGTAACATGTCATAGAACTGACTTTGTTAAAAAAAGTATTATAGCTTTAACTATATTGTACACACAATGCAAATGTAAAGTGTGTATAAATTAACTGCTTTCCCAGGTTAAGGATTCCAACCAAGTTTGATTTAAAAGAATTAAAAGAAATTACACTTGAGATCTGAATTTTCTTATATAAAATTTTCCATCTAGAAAAAGTAGAAAAATTTTTGAAACTTCAGTTCATTTGACCTATTTTTAGCCCTTGAATTCATATTCTTTATACATGCACTACACAAATGCCATTACTACAGACATATTGCTTGTTGAAAAAGCATGATACAGGCCCTAGGCCTTCTGGTTATTGAGAAGAATTTGCTTACGCATTTCAACACATTTGACCTCTGTTACCTTGACAGTAGGTCAAGGTGAATAAACTTAGTAGCCCTTCATCCCAGCATGCTACAGGCCTAATATCAGAACCCTAGGCCTTTTGGTTATTGAAAATAAGTCCTTTAAATATTTCAAAAATATCTGACCCCTGCAAACTTGAAAGCACATCAAGGTCATTAAAATTAACAAACTTGATAGCCCTCCATCCCATCACGCTACAGTCCAAATATCAGCATCCTGGGTCTTTTGGTTCTCGAGAAGAAGTTGTTTAAAAATTTGACATAATTGACCCCTATGACCTTGAAGGTATGTCAAGGTCATTCATATTTACAAACTTGGTAGCCCCTCATCCCATCATGCTACAGGCCCAATATCAGTACCCTGAGCCTACTGGTTATTGAGAAGATGTAATTTGAATGGAAAGTTTATGCATGGCAGATAGCAGATGACCTAATAATTATGCAGGTTTGAACTATTTCTAATCAAAAATACACAAATGATGTTCAAAAACATAAATTTTCTATATAAACTAAAATAAACTTTACCCACTCCCCAGGGGGAAATGTGAGACCCTGGGGAAATGATATTTACAATTTTTATAAAGCATCTGAAGGCCTTCTATCCATCAAGGGTATTTAATTCTACTATACCTGGGATTTGAAAAGATTAAAGTTTCAATTCATCTGACCATTTTTCGCCCCACCCCTCAAGCCCCTGGAGGTTGGGGACCATATAATTTACATTAACGATGTGTCTTTGGAAGGTTTTTGTAAATTTTCATTGAAATCTGTTCAGGAGTTTTCAAGAAAAATCTAAATTGATAGAAGTTTACGATGCACCACACAGGACAAAAGGGGATCTTTTAAATATCTCCATAATTGTCAAAGAAAAATAGAGAAGAAATTGAAGTATGATGGAAGGAGGCTAATGATAAACAACATGATGGACACCTAATTTATGACAGGGGGAGCAAAAGAATTGGATGAAATTTTAAGACCATTCATATTTGATAGTATACAGGTAATGAAAGAAAATTTTCATCATTAATGCTGACTTTAAATAATGTTACATTCTCTTTCATTAGACCTTTACTTACAGAATTTCAATGGGCTATAATTAAATTACTTTCTCTTATAATAAGAAATCCTTTGTTTCGACAAGGTGTTGTACAGGCAGAATATATGTAGATTAACATATTTTGGTGCCCACTGGTAGTATACACAAACATTTTTGCTTTACTGATCAGTCTTAAAATTAAATGGGCACAATTAGGAACCATGGGGAACACACACATCAAGCTTTGAGATATATCTCTCCATTTCTTCTCAAGGAATAGCGATAACAAATTTCAACAGTCAAAATCCAAGAAAGCTGCTTAGACAATTTGCTTTATTACTCAGATTCAAAACTGAATTGGCATGATTATAAATGGAGGAGAACCTACATATGAAGCTTGAGGAATATTCCTCTAGTTCTTTAACAGAAATAGCAATAACAAGGGCTTTTATGGAAAGACAAAGCAACATGGATGAAGGATGATCTGAACCAGAAGAAAGGCCTCCATAACAGCATGCTACTGGCCAATTACTATAATTGTAGGCATTGTGGTGATTCAGAAGTGCATTTTTGCACATCTGAGCCCTTTGTCCTGAAGATTGGGGTTAAGTTATTTATTGGAAAAAAGTTCTGAGATTTGAGTTAATACATTAATGCCATATGATATAAGTTCAACGATTTTTTACATTTTTTGCAAAAAAACTTAACCAATAAATTTCATAAAAACACTTTGGGTAATGATGAGGTATAAATAAAAATGTTTTGCTTAGGACTTCCATTTCAATCAAGGATGGAGCCACTGGGAAGATCTGTGCCTTATATATAGCAATATCATCACTTGCAACAAGAGATAACACAAGTATTAGCATCAAGTTTTGAAAATAAACAACGCTAACAAGTCAGGACTTACATTTTTAGTACTTTGTCTTTCCCTCCACTTGCTACTCTCTGTCCATCAGGACTCCAGTCTACAGAGTATACCTAAATACAAGACAATCACAGTTATCTCCCTTAAAATCCATCATCAAGAGTTGCCTCCCTTTGACAACATCTTAATTGTTTTACTGCAGTATTTGATGACATTGACTGTCCAATGAATGTTTACAAGTATCTCATTATGTCAGAATGTTCTCAAAAGTTTACTTTATTTAAAACACTTGGTTTTCCAAAACAAAAATTGAAAAAAAAAGAAATATGGAACAGCACAGAATCTAATAATAATGAATCTGAGTACCAGAAATTAGTTATCAGAGATGACAGGATAAGGCTAGGTATCAGAGATGTGAGGATAAGGCTAGGTATCAGAGATGTGAGGATAAGGCTGGGTATCAGAGATGTGAGGATGAGGCTAGGTATCAGAGATATGAGGATAAGGCTGGGTGTCAGAGATGACAGGATGACAGGCTGGGTGTCAGAGATGGGAGGATGAGGCTGGGTGTCAGAGATGGCAGGATGAGGTTTAGTACCTGAGACTGGAAGATGAGACTGGTACCAGAGATGGGAGGATGAGGCTGGATATCAGAGATGGCAGGATAAGGCTGGGTGTCAGAGATGGGAGGATGACATTGGGTACCAGAGATGGGAGGATGAGGCTGGGTATCAGATATGGGATGATCAGGCTGGGCGTCAGAGATGGGAAGACGACATTGGGCACCAGGGATGGGAGGATGAGGCTGGGTATCAGTGATAGGAGGATGAAACTGGGTACCAGAGATGGGAGGATGAGGCTGGGTATCAGAGATGGGAGGATGACATTGGGTACCAGAGAGGCTTGGTATCAGAGATGGGAGGATATAGCTGGGTACCAGAGATGAGAGGATATGGCTGGGTACTAGAGATGAGAGGATATGGCTGGGTACCAGAGATGGAAGGATGACATTGGGTACCAGAGATGGGAGGATGAGGCTGGGTATCAGAGATGGGAGGATGACATTGGGTACCAGAGATGGGAGGATGAGGCTGGGTATCAGAGATGGGAGGATGACATTGGGTACCAGAGATGGGAGGATAAGGCTAGGTATCAGAGATGGGAGGATATGGCTGAGTACCAGAGATGGCAGGATGAGGCTGGGTATCAGGATGAGGCTGGGTATCAGAGATGACAGGATAAGTCTAGGTATCAGAGATGGGAGGATGAGGCTGGGTATCAGAGATGAAAGGATATGGCTGGATACCAGAGATGGGAGGATATGGCTGAGTACCAGAGATGGCAGGATGAGGCTGGGTACCACAGATGGCAGGATGAGGCTGGGTATCAGAGATGAAGTCTAGGTATCAGAGATGGGAGGATAAGGCTGGGTATCAGAGATGGGAGGATATGGCTGAGTACCAGAGATGGCAGGATGAGGCTGGGTACCACAGATGGCAGGATGAGGCTGGGTATCAGTGATGGGAGGATGAGAGATGGGAGGATGAGGCTGGATGTCAGAGATGGCAGGATGAGGCTGGTACCAGAGATGGCAGGATGAGGTTTAGTACCAGAGACTGGAAGATGAGACTGGTACCAGAGATGGGAGGATGAGGCCTGATATCAGAGATGGCAGGATGAGGCTGGGTGTCAGAGATGGGAGGATGAAGCTGGGTATCAGAGATGAGAGGATATGGCTGGGTACCAGAGATGGGAGAATGAGGCTTAGTATCAGAGATGGGATGATGAGGCTGGGTGTCAGAGATGGGAAGACGACATTGGGCATCGGAGATGGGAGGATGAGGCTGGATATCAGACATGTGAGGATGAGGCTGGGTATCAGCGATAGGAGGATGAAACTGGGTACCAGAGATGGAAGGATGACATTGGGTACCAGAGATGGGAGGATGAGGCTGGGTATCAGAGATGGGAGGATGAAGCTGGGTATCAGAGATGGGAGGATATGGCTGAGTACCAGAGATGGCAGGATGAGGCTGGGTGTCAGCGATGACAGGATGAGGTTTAGTACCAGAGACTGGAAGATGAGACTGGTACCAGAGATGGGAGGATGAGGCTGGATATCAGAGATGGCAGGATGAGGCTGGGTGTCAGAGATGGCAGGATGAGGTTTAGTACCAGAGACTGGAAGATGAGACTGGTACCAGAGATTGGAGGATGAGGCTGTATACAGATAAATGATGTAACTTTATATTTGGAAATAAGATTAAAAGTTTGAGGACTAGTTATTGGCCCTTACCTCATCTGCATGTCCTGGTAAATCAAACAAAAGTTTTCTAGTCTTCACATCAAATACTTTAATGGTGGAATCAGAACTGCCACTGCAAATGAGTCGACTGTCAGCTGACCAGCCTAGTGTGTACACACGACTTACATGTCCGCGGAAGGTTGCCAGGAATCTGTGACAAGGTGAAAATGATAGTTACATTAAAAACAACATTTTTCAAAAGTGTAAATTTTTAAAGACAAAATGTATGTTATATAAGAAATTTGTATTCTGGACCTACTTTCCAGTTCGACCATCCCATAACTTTACAGACTTGTCAAAGGATGCACTGGCAATGAGTCGAGTATCTGGTGAAAATTGTACATCATTAATGAGTTGCTGATGACCAGTCATGCGTGCGATAGGTTTCTTATCCTCCTCAGGTTTCCATAGATACAATGTAAAATCATCTGATCCTGACACAAGTCGTTCAGGTCCTGGGCCCTGTGGACAGAAATAAGAGGTATTCACCTGTCATGTTTCTGCTGAACTTTTATTTTAGTTGGGCCATGCATTCAGTATGAATAACCCTCTATCACTGCAAGCCGACTGAATTGTAAACACCAACCACAATGAACTTCAGACACTATTTGAACAATTTCTATCACTGAGAACTAACAGATTCCAAATTACTTTATCGTGCTCACCTGACCTTATCATATTTTTTGATTGATTGACAAGTTTTCCCTCTCTGTTGCCATTATCATATTGCATAATTACAGGTGAATCCATTTTCACATGGGTAGAATAGGTAACAAATCACTCTACACACCACATGAGAATAAATGTAATCGCCCCATGTCCTTAGTAAAGTTTCAATGTGACAGGTCAGAGGTCATTCAGGTGAGGCTATTTATGTTTAACTGTTGTACATTCCATTATGTACATACATTGTACTAATGATGTAAACATGGTGATTTTTATGTACAAAAACATGTAAATGAAATCAACCAGTCTGCAGTGTTTTATATTTTCTGCTTCATTTAATTAATTAGGGCCAGTTCAGTTTTGTGACAAAAAAAAAATCTCAGAATAAATAGGACCACATCTGTTTTCAGAACCTATTAATTAACCGCGGGACAATTTGAGAGATGACAGTGTGACTAGATTACATGTGTAAGGTAATTAAATTTCCTGGTTTCGTTTCAATAAAGAGGTAGTAGCTACAACACATTCCTGTAATGTTACTAAAAATAATGAATGAAATCAGCTGTTCTATTCATTCCAAATTGTAGCACCTGGCACTGATAATCATCTAGTCTAATGGTCTCCAGAGGATTGTTATAATCAATGACATAAAAGATTGTAGATATTCTAAAGGTGCTAAGATTACCTGATATATAAGATAATAGAATTACAATCAAAATAGATTGATATAAACTTAGAAATGAGGCAAACTATTCACAATGACACATTTTCCATATATAATTCCATTCTAAAATTTTCTTGTTTTTGTAATGCTCATACAGAAAGATCCATTCGACAATTTTAACTTGGACATGATTTGAGCAGGCATAGGATTACATCAGTAGCCTCCCTTTACTATAGAAGCTGATATTTTGTACCTTTGCTAAATCATATCTTTCCTTTGCTTTCTTTGCCAGCAATTCATCTGAAATAAAAGAATCATAGAGCTAAAAGTTTAATCATCCACATTTTTACAAAAAATAACGATCATATTAAAGATTTTGCCAGCAAGATGCTTTAGGTGATTATACACGCATCTATGAACCTTATGATGAAGTAACTTTTTAAAATCCATATGTTACAAACAAAACTGTTCATAACACAAAACTTTTGTAGTTTGAGAAACCAATTATTTGTAACAGTATTTGTTATTTGATCATACATCATACCATATGAACCATTTTGTGCTATAATTCATATCTACTGAAGGTAGACTGTAACATGTATAACTGGTCTTTATCACATAGTAACAAAATGTATCACATAGTAACAAAATATATCACATAGTAACAAAGTGTATCACCTAGTAACAAAATGTATCACATAGTAACAAAATGTATCACATAGTAACAAACTGTATCACACAGTAACAAAATGTATCACATAGTAACAAAATGTATCACATAGAAACAAACCATATCACATTGTAACAAAATGTATCACATTGTAACAAAATGTATCACATAGTAACAAAATGTATTAAATAGCAACAAACTGTATTACAAAGAAACAAAATGTATTAAATAGTAACAAAATGTATCAGATAGTAACAAACTGTACCAGATAGTAATAAAATGTATTAGATAGTAACAAAGTGTATTAGAAAGTTACATACTGTATGAGATTTTACCTCGTGAGGACTTCTGATAATGACCAAAATTCTTTAATTGAACTGGAGATATCTACTCCTTCCATTATAAAAGAAAACAGTTCTCTTAGCATATCTAATTGAGTTATTTTTTCCGTACATAATTTCCCTTTTATACACAGATGTCTTAATCATCTGTCAACCAACACCTGAGTCAGTAGAGAGATGACCCCTGGGGCGAGGCCAGCTTTGCCCCGGGGCTGTAGTGGTTACACAGGACCAGGTTGTTGGTACTTAGTATGACTGTAAGAGTATTGATCTCGTGACATCACTCCTCACTCCAAACCCACAGTATTAGTACTGCTGAGCTGAAGGAGATGCTATCACCACAGAAACTCTCACCCTAGGAGACCTGGCTTCAGGCTTGGAATACAGTATAATTTAATGTCTGTGCTGGCTTGACGGGGCTTAACATCCATCCTTGTTTGAGCCTAGGACAGTTTCAAAATGTCTGTGCTGGAGTGACGGGGACATTTACATGGTGAGTTGTACATACTTTATAAGAAAAATTTGCTGACCAGTTGATGGAAGTGCTACATCACGTATACATCTTGTTATGCCTTAAAATCATGACTTATTGTGTGACTACTGGATCACAGCAGTATCAATCAGGGAAAAAAAACCTTACTAGTATACAGCTTTTGGTGATCAACTTCTGCCTTTGGCAACTGAAGATTACATGAATTATGTTTAGACTGTACCGACAGCAGACAGTCCTCTAGTAAACACAGATTCCGGTTTTATAGTTTATTGAATACATGTTCTGTACAATGAGGCTAGGGGTTGGGGGATGTGTGATGCCGTGTAAATGTTTAATCTGTTTGTAGCTGAAATACTGAGTTAATATGCTAGCATGTTGATGGAGTCTGTAAACGCCAGCTGACATGCTAAGTGTGTGTTGGTACAGAAGGCATGGCTAGCGATGGTGATTTGATGTATTAGGGGCCTTTAGATCCTTATTTGAATTTAGATTCACAGATATTGATGTAAGATGGTGTTTTAAGGAGGCAGAAAATAGAAGTACATGATCAGGTAAAAGTCACTTCACAATATTACATCATTATATTGTACTAAACATACATACAGCTCCTGATCCAAATATAGCAACAAACCAGAATTTTATGATATGATAAGCTATACTTCTCTCCCAGTATCTAACACTGTTATGTTAGAATCAACACAAAACCTCTAGCAAACCTAAGCATGTTAGAATCACTGCATCTAGTACGAACATAGATAGTACGATTACCAAACCTCAGGATGTAGTACCGCTACCAAACCTCAGTATGTAGTACCGCTACCAAACCTTAGTATGTAGTACCGCTACCAAACCTCAGTATGTAGTACCACTACCACACCTCAGTATGCAGTAGTACCACTACCACACCTCAGTATGTAGTACCATTACCAAATCTCAGTATGTAGTACCACTACCACACCTCAGTATGTAGTACCACTACCAAATCTCAGTATGTAGTACCACTATCAAAACCTCAGTATGTAGTACCACTACCACACCTCAGTATGTAGTACCGCTACCAAACCTCAGTATGTAGTACCACTACCAAACCTCAGTACCCTACCAAACCTCAGTATGTAGTACCACTACCAAACCTCAGTATGTAGTACCACTACCACACCTCAGTATGTAGTACCATTACCAAACCTCAGTATGTAGTACCACTACCACAATTCCGTATGTAGTACCACTACCAAACCTCAGTATGTATTACCACTACCAAATTTCAGTATATATTACCACCACTAAAACTCAGTATGAAGTACCACTACCAAACCTCAGTATATAGTATCACTACCAAACCTCAGTTTGTAGTACCACTACCAAATCTCAGTATATATTACCACCACTAAACCTCAGTATGTAGTACCACTACCACAATACCGTATGTAGTGCCACTACCAAACCTCCAAATGTAGTACCACTACCAAACCTCAGTACGTAGTACCACTACCAAACCTCAGTATGTAGTACCACTACCACACCTCAGTATGTAGTACCACTACCACACCTCAGTATGTAATACCACTACCAAACCTCAGTATGTAGTACCACTACCACACCTCAGTATGTAGTACCACTACCAAACCTCAGTATGTATTACCACCACCAAACCTCAGTATGTATTACCACCACTAAACCTCAGTATGTAGTACCACTACCACAATTCCGTATGTAGTACCACTACCAAACCTCAGTTTGCAGTACCACTACCAAACCTCAGTATGTAGTACCACTACCAAACCTCAGTATGTATTACCACCACTAAACCTCAGTATGTATTACCACCACTAAACCTCAGTATGTAGTACCACTACCACAATTCCGTATGTAGTACCACTACCAAACCTCAGTTTGTAGTACCACTACCAAACCTCAGTATGTAGTACCACTACCAAACCTCAGTATGTATTACCACCACTAAACCTCAGTATGTATTACCACCACTAAACCTCAGTATGTAGTGCCACTACCAAACCTCCAAATGTAGTACCACTACCAAACCTCAGTACGTAGTACCACTACCAAACCTCAGCAGGAAGTATCACTACTTAAGTTCAGTAGGTATTACAGTGTAGCTAACAACCCTCATTTATACTAGCAGAGCTGGTTGTACATTAAAGTTCTCTGTGGTATTGATGAGCAGTTGTAAATGACATGCTATACATAATTAAAGAGAAAACACAGCCAGACCATAGAGTGGAGATCCTTTCCATAAGCAAGTGGTTCAATAACTACCTTAGACAACTTCAGAGAGTATCCAGGACCTGATGGAAATCCCAGGGATATCCAGTACCTGATGGAAATCCCAGGAATATCTAGGACCTGATGGAAATCCCAGGAATACCCAGGACCTGATGGAAATTCCAGGAATATCCAGGACCTGATGGAAATTCCAGGAATATCCAAGACCTGATGGAAATTCCTTGAATACCCAGGACCTGATGGAAATCCCAGGAATATCCAGGACCTGATGGAAATTCCAGGAATATCTAGGACCTGATGGAAATCCAAGGGATATCCAGGACCTGATGGAAATTCCAGGAATATCTAGGACCTGATGGAAATCCAGGAATATCCAGGACCTGATGGAAATCCCAGGAATATCCAGGACCTGATGGAAATTCCAGGAATATCCAAGACCTGATGGAAATCCCATGATATTCCAGGACCTGATGGAAATCCCAGGAATATCTAGGACCTGATGGAAATTCCAGAAATATTTAGGACCTAATGGATATCCCAAGAGTATGCTATGACCTGTGTTAATCCTGTAATACTGGCCTATTGAATCTATTCCACTATACTGTATAATTTATTATTGCAAAAATCATTAGATTCCAAGGGTTTAGGTTTTCATTTTCTTTGAGGTGACAGAATAAAGTTTCAAAAAATTAAATATATTGGCAATAAAATTCAGAAAATTGAACTAGTAAATTTGTAGACTTCTGTGAGAAAAATACATCCTTTTTTCTTAAAGCTTCTGGTAAAACCACAAAAATTAAACCAACTAAAGTAAAAGTCCTTCACAGTGTAAAGAATTAGTACTTTAATGGAACAAAAAGGATTGATGTACTATATGTATATAATCATCACAGACAACCTCCCGATGGACTGGAACTTCTCACCATGCTTGGAACTAGCATTGTGTTCAACAAAGAGTTAGGACTCAATAATTACTCCTACCATTATGTTTGGTCTAAAATAAAATTGACACAACTAGTCCACCACAATGACTGTAAAATAACACAAACTGGCCCCACCTCTTCCTTTTCCTCTTGACCCAGAACACACTGTATCACAACTAGTTAAAATGTCTTCCTTCTAACTTTAATACTGTTTTAAACTGTGGCCATGATGGCTCAGGACAATGGATTTGGTAACCTCAGGGAAAGATGTGATGTGCGTGGTTCCTCCCTTCCTGTAACAATCTGGGTTTTTCAGGAAGCTGAGAAACAGACTGGTATGACTGCAAAATGTGCTTTCATAGTAGTATCCTTGGGAAAGACACTCTACCCTGCTTGCTCTGGATGACATGTGATGGGTCTTCCATATGCTGTTCAGTGAGGTAGCTACCACCTACTCAAAGGAAAACACCTGCCTCAAAACCACCCTGGATATCTATAGGATGATACTTTCAACAATTTATCTGGTTTGTCCACAACACTTTCTTTTGAACTCTTTCAACAAGTGCATAATTTATCTTTTATGCAAGGTTGAAATTCCTTCACCAATCGTTTCTGCTGAATCAAATGTGTCAAGATAATGAGTTATGAGATGGATTTACGACATCTAAGGTGTCTATTTGAAAACATTAGCAAAGCGAGTTGGTAAGAATGGTGTGTTGTTACTATAAAACACTTGAGAATTATATTACAAGTAGAAATACTTAGACTGTGACCTCAGTAGAAGGAAGTCCTTCTAGGGAGAAACCTCAAGTAGTTGTACCAACACATTCAGATATTGATACAGTATATGTATAACAATAAATAGGACAATATCAAACAGCAGTTATGTTACAGGTAAGTCTACATCATATAGCTGTTATGTTACAGGTAAGTCTACATCATACAGCTGTTAAGTTACAGGTAAGTCTTCATCATACAGCTGTTATACGACAGTATATTTTGAGATCTGTAAGTCATATTGTTATTTCTCTGAGCCTCGAGTCAGGATATTTACACATACATTTACTAAATTGCATTAAGCCCTGAATGATGTCATAAATCAATATATTTTTTTAAAAATTCTCCTTCTCATTCATATCCAACTCACTGTGTAATCACATCACACAAATGACCAACACACACTGAAAAGGAACCATCTTTGTACGAAACACTGATTGGCTACATGTCCTAAATTACAGTCATCACAATGCTCTTACAAACACATATAACAGTTCAAAAGATTTTGGTGTGTCGGATAAAAATCAATGAGAGCAGCTACTATTTATAGTGACTGGGAATGGATACAGCAGCTGTACAGAGATGGGAACATGAAACATTCCTGGTGGTTTGATATTTAATACAATTGTTAAATGCCTGGTAGAATACCATTTTACATTAAATAATAGCTGCAATTTACATATTCCATTACGTAGAACAATCTTTATGTAAGAGCAGAAGAGATTTACAATTAACCACATAGAGCCATTCAGATTTATAATATCAATTTTCAAGTTAAATATTGGTATCATACAGTTAAGTTCACCCATCATTATCATAAAGTAAAGGTCAACCACTAGTGTCACTCAGTCAAGGTCAACCATTGGTGTCACTCAGTCAAGGTCAACCATTGGTATCATTCAGTCAAGGTCAACCATTGGTATCATTCTGTCAAGGTCCACCATTGTTACCATACATTAAAGGTCCATAATTTGTATCACTAAGTCAACGTCAACCATTTGTATTACTAATTAAAGAAGCTGTGTGTTGTACAGTTCTTATCTTTGAGGTATATCTGAAATGTTGAAATCAATGTTGTTAGGGATTTTCTAAAGATGAAAATCAGTTCTATTTCTTATTATTATGTTTTTTCTTTTACAGATTTACAGACATCATGATTTATGATACAGAACTCCAACTCTCCTCGATCAGTGACAGAATTCCTAACCTGCAGCAGTGAGAGGACTCAAAGCTAAAGGAACTATTTCTCTACAGCATATTCCACCAGTATTAAAGTATTGTAGAGAAGTTGTCAAAACCGTACATATAACCCATATACAGAGCAGCAAGAAAAAAAAGACAATACAAATATGGAGTGTTCGTATATTCTGCGTTTGATTGCCTTCACTGTATCTTTAATTGTCGACTCAATTGATACAATCAGTGACTGGCTGTTGTATCATGATGTAGTTGCTGCCAAAGAAGGTTTGGTTTTTGGCCATTTTGATGACACTCTGACAACAACACTTCTTGCTTTCTCTATCCTGGGTTCATGTCTGTTTCTGTTTGAAATCATCACTTTAGGGGTTAATCTGACGCGTGACGACCTCCCCATACTCCTTTTAGATGTGGTTGCTCTGCTCGTCATTTGGGTGGAGGATGTTCCCCAAATTATCATCAATGTTGTCATAGTTGCATGCAGAGATCAGCCAATCAGTGTGGTTCAGATCATTAAGGCCAGTATATGTATGTTAGGTGCACTTATGAAGCTTATGATTGCAATTGTTCGTTTCTGTTACTGGAAGAGAAAGGAGGAAAAGCTAGGCTCTGAAGGAACCCAGTCTGTAAATAAATGGGTTCGAATCATCACCTTTCCAGGCATCCTCCTCATCATGCTGGGATCCATCATGGTGTTTTCCTTTACACAACTCACATGGGACAATGCAGATGGCAGTCTCAAGTTCCAAAACCCTCGCCGACTGCTGGACGGTGAATATAACACTGATAAATACTTTGACCAGGTTGGTGTTTATGTCAACTTTGAATCCAAAGATAGTGGTCCAACTGTCAACATGGCAACAAACCAGTGGATTCGATTGGTCGATATCTATGATTTCGGGGAAAGAAAAAATACCATTGTCACCCATGTCACTTTTGGTTTAGGGGCTAGTAAGTTCCTCTCAGTACAAAAACCACCAGGGTCTCATGCATCAGCCAACTTCTCAGAATGCTATGTCAAAACTGGTGCATCATGGAGCTTACAGAGTTCACTTAGCAGATGTGCAGTTGAGAACCAGCCAACAGTTTCGGCGGTAATACAGCTGCAGTTTGTTGAGCCTGAGGGTCACCTGCTGTTGGGAGATATAGAATTCAACTCGAAGGTGTACCAGGATACTACCTGTAACAGTGCGATTGTACCTGCCACACCCCTACCACATCTCTCCCTCAGCTACTTCAAATCAAGGCTTGCCATCACTTCTGGATTCCACCACATGGTGGTGTCTGGGACAGTAATGGACAGTGAGTTTTACTCAACATCACAGTTACAGCCCATCACAGAGATATGGAAGACAGGATTCCTTGGCTGTAAGTTCACTGGGAAGTCGCAACCAACTTTTAACCCCGATATTTCTGTACCATGTCTATAATGTATCATAGGTCAGTAGATCCTGCACTGATTCCAATGACATTCATACAGACAATGAATGCCAAGCAACAATGACAATTCCATCAACTCATATACCATTTCATTTACTTACTGAAAGTATTTTAATGTAACAATGAAAAATTTATTTACTAAAATTCAACAGCTCTAATAAGGATGTATCGTGCATGCTTGTTTATTGAATCAGTAGTGAAGAACTGTAAAATTCATACATGTATCATCATAGCTGTGTGTCCCCTATTTATACCATTATATATTCTAAAGCCTGATTCCCATCGTGTGTTACCACATCTATTGTTCTCACAGTTTTCAAACAGGTCACAGTATACATAATACTACATTAGCATATAAATGTGCTGAAAAAAAAGGATTCAAAATTGATAAAGTAGCAGGCTATTTTTTAATGGCAACGACTTAAGGTTGTCAAACATGCAGCCAATCAGATTTTGTGTGCTATATATGGGGATGTCGATTGTTAATAGGGCCATATCGGAGGTCTTTTCACTGTAAATATGTCATCTAACACATGTAATGCACTTATTTTATGAGAAACATATTTAATTGTCAACTGAATCATTTCAAAATAATATTTAACATTTTAAAAGATATTTCAAAGTATATCTTTTTTATATAAAACAGATATCATTTTTTATGAAATAAACACAAACTAATTTTATGGTTCCTGTAAACGTTTTACCAAATACATGTTTTACGTTTAATTATGTCACAATATCCTTTTCCTGTCACCAGTTTTATCACAATGGTAAATATCCTACTAAATATACAGAGCATGATGTAATAACCAGTCTGCTAAATCTGACTATAATCTTATGTGCAGACCTCAAAATTTAGGTCAATCAGCCTGGGATTAAGTCCAAATCTAGCAACAGTGATTATGAGATTTAAGAAATAAAAAGGAGAAATATTCTGATATAAGTTCATAAATTCATTTACACTCTCCAGACATTCTCTCTCTCATATGTCAACTTGTCAAATTAGGGACAATGATATCTTTTGATTTTGGCAAAACTGCTCTTGTCTACTTATAATGGTAACCATTTTATCTGTATCAAAAATGCCTCAACCAATCAGAAGTTGTTTCGGTACATTTTTCCATTGACAACAAACATACGGATATCGGTATAATTTCACTTGTGATTGGTATGTTTGTTGTTGTCATGATGTTAAGCAGCATCATAAACATCAAATTTCTACAATGAAATCAAACCACATCTGGAATTATTCATAATTATATATTTTATAATTTATAATTATATTATGTTATAGAAAGGGTACCTGTTTGCAGAAAAGGACCTGTTATTGGCCGAGGCATTTTTGATACAGGGGAAATATGTACCTAGATTTCCTAATCTATGGTCACTCAGTTTAAAAAAGAAATACATTTTTTGTACATTCCCTTCAAGATGAACACTATTCATGGAGGCCATGTATCAGAACAGTGGTGAAGAAATGTATTGGGTATTTAATTCTTATATCACATACAATGTAGTTGTTGTTATCTGTTGTTCTACACATATTTTCCAATAAATCAATTTTTTTACCCCAAATTTGTTGTTTTTATTACTTATTAAGAGTAACATGTAAAGATTCTCAAATCATGTGCTAACAGGAATAGACACAATACCATGGTTACTAAAACAGTGACTACAGCATCACTACAATGGAATACTAGAGTCCAGTGACGTTTTCTGTTATTATCACAAAAATAATTAGAGTATCCAGTGACACATTCTATAATCATCACAAAGATTACTATGTGTCCAATAACATATTCTTTTATCATCATACAGATTACTACTAGTGTATCAAGTGGCCAAGTCTATTATTACATTAAAGAGTACAAGAGTATCCAGTGACATATTCTATTACTACCACAAAAATTACTGGAGTATCCATGTACACAGTCTACTATCTCCACAAAGATTATTAGAGTATCCATGTACACATTCTACTATCTCCACAAAGATTGTTAGAGTATCCAGGGACATATTCTACTATCTCCACACATATTACTGGAGTGTCCAGGGACATATTCTACTATCTCCACAAAGATTACTGGAGTGTTCAGGGACATATTCTACTATCTCCACAAAGATTACTGGAGTGTTCAGGGACATATTCTACTATCTCCACACATATTACTGGAGTGTTCAGGGACATATTCTACTATCTCCACAAAGATTACTGGAGTGTTCAGGGACATATTCTACTATCTCCACACATATTACTGGAGTGTTCAGGGACATATTCTACTATCTCCACAAAGATTACTGGAGTGTTCAGGGACATATTCTACTATCTCCACAAAGATTACTGGAGTGTTCAGGGACATATTCTACTATCTCCACACACATATTACTGAGTGTTCATATTCTACTATCTCCACAAAGATTACTGGAGTGTTCAGGGACATATTCTACTATCTCCACAAAGATTACTGGAGTGTTCAGGGACATATTCTACTATCTCCACAAAGATTACTGGAGTGTTCAGGGACATATTCTACTATCTCCACACATATTACTGGAGTGTTCAGGGACATATTCTACTATCTCCACAAAGATTACTGGAGTGTTCAGGGACATATTCTACTATCTCCACAAAGATTACTGGAGTGTTCAGGGACATATTCTACTATCTACTATCTCCACACATATTACTGGAGTGTTCAATGACATATTCTACTATCTCCACAAAGATTACTGGAGTGTTCAGGGACACATTCTACTATCTCCACACATATTACAGATTACTGGAGTGTATTCTACTATCTCCACAAAGATTACTGGAGTGTTCAGTGACATATTCTACTATCTCCACAAAGATTACTGGAGTGTTCAGTGACATATTCTACTATCTCCACAAAGATTACTGGAATGTTCAGGGACACATTCTACTATCTCCACAAAGATTACTGGAATGTTCAGGGACACATTCTACTATCTCCACACATATTACTGGAGTGTTCAGGGACACATTCTACTATCTCCACAAAGATTACTGGAGTGTTCAGGGACATATTCTACTATCTCCACAAAGATTACTGGAGTGTTCAGGGACATATTCTACTATCTCCACACATATTAATGGAGTGTTCAGGGACATATTCTACTATCTCCACAAAGATTACTGGAGTGTTCAGGGACATATTCTACTATCTCCACAAAGATTACTGGAGTGTTCAGGGACATATTCTACTATCTCCACAAAGATTACTGGAGTGTTCAGGGACATATTCTACTATCTCCACAAAGATTACTGGAGTGTTCAAGGACATATTCTACTATCTCCACAAAGATTACTGGAGTGTTCAGGGACATATTCTACTATCTCCACACATATTACTGGAGTGTCCAGGGACATATTCTACTATCTCCACACATATTACTGGAGTGTTCAGGGACATATTCTACTATCTCCACAAAGATTACTGGAGTGTTCAGGGACATATTCTACTATCTCCACAAAGATTACTGGAGTGTTTAAGGACATATTCTACTATCTCCACAAAGATTACTGGAGTGTTCAGGGACATATTCTACTAAATCCACACATATTACTGGAGTGTCCAGGGACATATTCTACTATCTCCACAAAGATTACTGGAGTGTTCATATAGACAGTAACATATTCTACTATCTCACAAAGAAAACACTTACCACAAAGATTACAGGTTCAGTACAATTCTACATCTCCACATCTGGAGTGATTATAGACAGTAAATCTCCACACAGATTACATCAGGACATATATTAGACAGTACATTACATCAATGGAGTGTTCAGGGACAGTAAAACTTACAAAGATTATGGAGTGTTCAGGGACAACTACTTACACATTACTGGAGTAAAACATTACATCACACATAGATTACTGGAGTGTTCAACATACACTTATATTATATGGAGTGTAAAACACTTACATCAAAGATTATATAGACAGTAAAACACTACAGTCACTATCTCCACATTATATAGGAGTAAAACACTTACATCATTATATAGACAGTAAAAGATTACTTACATCAGGATTATATAGACAGTAAAACACTTACATCTACTATTATATATAGATTTAAAGGGACACTTACATCAGGACTTATATAGAACACTTACATCAATTATTTGAAATAACACATTATAGGCAGTATATATAGACAGTAAAACACTTACATCAGGATTATATAGACAGTAAAACACTTACATCAAGATTATATTACAGTAAAACACTTCAGGGACAGTAAAACACTTATTTCAGGATTATATAGACAGTAAAACACTTACATCAAAAAGCTTATATAGACAGTAAAACACTTACATCAGGCTTATATAGACAGTATATAGACAAACACTTACATCAGTAAAACACTTATATATATAGACAGTAAAACACTTACATCAGGATTATATAGACAGTAAAACACTTACATCAGGATTATATAGACAGTAAAACACTTACATCAGGATTATATAGACAGTAAAACACTTACATCAGGATTATATAGACAGTAAAACACTTACACACTTACATCAGGCTTATATAGACAGTAAAACACTTACATCAGGCTTATATAGGCAGTAAAACACTTACATCAGGATTATATAGACAGTAAAACACTTACATCAGGCTTATATAGGCAGTAAAACACTAACATCAGGCTTATATAGACAGTAAAACACTTACATCAGGATTATATAGGCAGTAAAACACTTACATCAGGCTTATATAGACAGTAAAACACTTACATCAGGCTTATATAGACAGTAAAACACTTACATCAGGCTTATATAGACAGTAAAACACTTACATCAGGCTTATATAGACAGTAAAACACTTACATCAGGCTTATATAGACAGTAAAACACTAACATCAGGCTTATATAGGCAGTAAAACACTTACATCAGGATTATATAGACAGTAAAACACTTACATCAGGCTTATATAGGCAGTAAAACACTTACATCAGGATTATATAGACAGTAAAACACTTACATCAGGCTTATATAGACAGTAAAACACTTACATCAGGCTTATATAGACAGTAAAACACTAACATCAGGATTATATAGACAGTAAAACACTTACATCAGGCTTATATAGACAGTAAAACACTTACATCAGGATTATATAGACAGTAAAACACTTACATCAGGCTTATATAGACAGTAAAACACTTACATCAGGCTTATATAGACAGTAAAACACTTACATCAGGATTATATAGACAGTAAAACACTTACATCAGGCTTATATAGACAGTAAAACACTTACATCATGCTTATATAGACAGTAAAACACTTACATCAGGCTTATATAGACAGTAAAACACTTACATCAGGCTTATATAGACAGTAAAACACTTACATCAGGCTTATATAGACAGTAAAACACTTACATCAGGCTTATATAGGCAGTAAAACACTTACATCAGGCTTATATAGGCAGTAAAACACTTACATCAGGATTATATAGACAGTAAAACACTTACATCAGGCTTATATAGACAGTAAAACACTTACATCAGGCTTATATAGACAGTAAAACACTTACATCAGGCTTATATAGACAGTAAAACACTTACATCAGGCTTATATAGACAGTAAAACACTTACATCAGGCTTATATAGACAGTAAAACACTTACATCAGGCTTATATAGACAGTAAAACACTTACATCAGGATTATATAGACAGTAAAACACTTACATCAGGCTTATATAGACAGTAAAACACTTACATCAGGCTTATATAGACAGTAAAACACTTACATCAGGCTTATATAGACAGTAAAACACTTACATCAGGCTTATATAGACAGTAAAACACTTACATCAGGATTATATAGACAGTAAAACACTCAGATTATATAGACAGTTAAACACTAACATCAGGCTTATATAGACAGTAAAACACTTACATCAGGCTTATATAGACAGTAAAACACTTACATCAGGCTTATATAGACAGTAAAACACTTACATCAGGCTTATATAGGCAGTAAAACACTTACATCAAGCTTATATAGACAGTAAAACACTTACATCAGGCTTATATAGACAGTAAAACACTTACATCAGGCTTATATAGACAGTAAAACACTTACATCAGGATTATATAGACAGTAAAACACTTACATCAGGCTTATATAGACAGTAAAACACTTACATCAGGATTATATAGACAGTAAAACACTTACATCAGGCTTATATAGACAGTAAAACACTTACATCAGGCTTATATAGACAGTTAAACACTTACATCAGGCTTATATAGACAGTAAAACACTTACATCAGGCTTATATAGACAGTAAAACACTTACATCAAGCTTATATAGACAGTAAAACACTTACATCAGGCTTATATAGACAGTAAAACACTTACATCAGGCTTATATAGACAGTAAAACACTTACATCAGGCTTATATAGACAGTAAAACACTTACATCAGGCTTATATATACAGTAAAACACTTACATCAGGCTTATATAGACAGTAAAACACTTACATCAGGCTTATATAGACAGTAAAACACTTACATCAGTTATAAACACACTTACATCAGGATTATATAGACAGTAAAACACTTACATCAGGCTTATATAGACAGTAAAACACTTACATCAGGCTTATATAGACAGTAAAACACTTACATCAGGATTATATAGACAGTAAAACACTTACATCAGGATTATATAGACAGTAAAACACTTACATCAGGATTATATAGACAGTAAAACACTTACATCAGGATTATATAGGCAGTAAAACACTTACATCAGGATTATATAGACAGTAAAACACTTACATCAGGATTATATAGACAGTAAAACACTTACATCAGGATTATATAGACAGTAAAACACTAACATCAGGCTTATATAGGCAGTAAAACACTTACATCAGGATTATATAGACAGTAAAACACTTACATCAGGCTTATATAGGCATAACACACAACAGACAGTAAAACACTTACATCAGGCTTATATAGACAGTAAAACACTTACATCAGGCTTATATAGACAGTAAAACACTTACATCAGGCTTATATAGACAGTAAAACACTTACATCAGGCTTATATAGACAGTAAAACACTTACATCAGGCTTATATAGACAGTAAAACACTTACATCAGGATTATATAGACAGTAAAACACTTACATCAGGCTTATATAGACAGTAAAACACTTACATCAGGATTATATAGACAGTAAAACACTTACATCAGGCTTATATAGACAGTAAAACACTTACATCAGGATTATATAGACAGTAAAACACTTACATCAGGATTATATAGACAGTAAAACACTTACATCAAGCTTATATAGACAGTAAAACACTTACATCAGGCTTATATAGACAGTAAAACACTTACATCAGGACAGTTATATATAGACAGTAAAACAAACACTTACATCATCAGGCTTATATAGACAGTAAAACACTTACAGTAAAACACTTACATCAGGCTTATATTGACAGTAAAACACTTACATCAGGCTTATATAGACAGTAAAACACTTACATCAAGCTTATATAGACAGTAAAACACTTACATCAGGATTATATAGACAGTAAAACACTTAATCACTTATATAGAATATCAACTGTACATATCGCTGATTAATTTGATTACTGTATCATTAATCCAAATATGAAAAATAGATAGATGGACAGATCATATTATTACAACAGGGCAGCACATTTCCCAAATATGGAACCAAAAATGTATACATGTATGTAAGATAACAATTGTAAATGGTAAGCAAACAAATGGAATGAGTAACAGTCAATACAGATAGGTGGAGTCACCTTTGTCATCACAGGTGTAGACAGGTAACACACGACAGGTGATGTCAACTGGACATAGGTATGGTAAATGTCCATATATTTTGTACGGTAAAATATAGGTCATTTTATTATTTACAGCTAATGATGGCATGGTCATCAATTTGTGGTTAAACAAAAATAGATATGTTTTTGTTATATATTATAGAAATATTTCTCAAAATTGTAAATATTTTTTAACTTTTGAACTTTCTGTATACTTGTGTATCCTGATGTTGATCAGAAAAAAGTAAAATTTTCCGTAAATACAGGAAGAGAATGTGAACATTACACATCCTGCCCACTTAAACTTCTAAACAGTTCTACAGTCACAGCTGGTTGTAACAGCTCTAACTCTTACATGTAGAGGTAAGTCAATGTCAGATATATATTATATCATTATAATCTTGCTAAATATTACAGATGATTATATTGCCTTGTAAATATATCTTTATTGTATTATCTAATCTTATACATTTGTTTCTGAGTTACTCCTCCGTGTTATGCCAATGTGTTAAGATGTATTCATCATTTTGTTAAGATATCTGTATCGTATTATTGTGTTAAGATATCTGTATCGTATTATTGTGTTAAGATATCTGTATCGTATTATTGTGTTAAGATATCTGTAACATATTGTTAAGGAATCACTACTCTGCTAGGTCATATCACATGTGTCATCACAAAAACTGATGTAAAGGGTGTTATAACACTAAATGTAGGCTAATAAAATATCCCCAAATCTTTGCTACTGGTTACAATATGTGTAGCTTGAATGTCTGTTGATTTTTCTGGCTTTTCATGTGATATATTCTCCTGATAGCTGCTATAGGTTTTTGTCTGCTTCTTCTATCATATTTTTTGCTAAGATGATATCATTGAATATACTGTATTTTGATTTTTGCCAAAAAATTAAGGTAATTCATTTAGCAAGGTCAGCTAATTCCTGTTTTTAACAAATATCAACTGTCATCAACAGTCATTGATGTGATTATATTCGAGTAAATGTCTCTTTAAATAGTATCTCCTCTCAGTTTTTAGAGTAAAATCAAGGGTAGGATGATAGCACCACCTATATATATATAGTTGTATCCTGTGGACAGAAACTCTTAAAATGTTGTGACAAGATGTATCAATAGTAAAGGATCTTAGATATTCCTGTTTTATCTATGTTTAAATTTCTTCCCATTACACTCTAATACCTTAACATTACTTTTAGCGAATCTAAACATCCAATTTTTCTGAAAGCTGTATTAATACATCATGTGATCCATTAATACATCATGTGATCCATTAATACATCATGTGATCCATTAATACATCATGTGATCCATTAATACATCATGTGATCCATTAATACATCATGTGATCCATTAAAGCCCCAATATACGTAACATTCACCAAAAATTTAGAGTAGAATCACACATAATTATTGAGATATTCTCTAAGATGTAGTTAAAATTAAGTTATTCAAACAATAGTTACCATGACTTTGTGCATAAAGTATTGATATATGAGCAGTTGAAACTCGCTATTTGTAAACACACCTCCATTTTAAACACACCGCCATCGAAATTACGATTGTTGTCGAACCACGTCGGAAAGTTCATGACCTGATCTCGCGAGAGTTGAGGTTTCTACTTATAGAGGAAGCACATGCAGATATGTCTACCGTAAGTTTTTGTTTACAAACATTGTTTGCGAAGTCTTGTCGTAGACTTGAGGTATTCCTGTGATAAACATTCAGTTTTTGGGATATTATTAGAAGGAATAATTAGTTTAAAAATGATACGACGCACAATTATAACGTAAGAATTCAGAACTGGCCTGATGTATGATTGGAAAAAAAGGAAGTGACTGGTGAACGTCTGTACTGTGTCTGCCATGTTTACACACGCGGAATATGCGCATGCGGTAATGTATGAATTATTGTGGGTCCCACATTGTTTATTTTCCGATTTTTTCAATTTATATTTAAATTGAAAACAGTCAGTTTTATTTTCTTTAATTAAAGGCAAGTATTTGTTTTGTTACATATATTACGGGGAAAATAAGATAACGTTTGATTTTTTTATAGTGATTTTTACGTATATTGGGGCTTTAATATATCATGTGATCCATTAATACATCATGTGATCCATTAATACATCATGTGATCCAATGATACATCATGTGATCCATTAATACATCATGTGATCCATTGATATATCATGTGATCCATAAGTACATCATGTGATCCATTGATCATGTGATCCATTAATACATCATGTGATCCATTGATATATCATGTGATCCATTAATACATCATGTGATCCAATGATACATCATGTGATCCATTAATACATCATGTGACCCATTGATATATCATGTGATCCATAAGTACATCATGTGATCCATTGATATATCATGTGATCCATAAGTACATCATGTGATTCATTAATACATCATGTGATCCAAAAAACTGAGTTATAGCATTATATTCATCACTTGTTTAATTGGTTTGTATAACAGGTTCAAGTTATGATTACTATTTGTAGGAACCAATCATCTTTGAACTTAGATCAGTTCATGTGATATACAAAACTCAATACATGTAAATGTTTTTTTATTTCTTTTTACAGACTAGAATTTCACAGACAAAACCCTCCAACATCAAATATGAGCTGTTTTTTTAATCTACGTAAGCTCAGTGTACTACTGGTGTCGATGTTTGCAGACCTGTTTGACTTTGTCAGTGATTGGCTGTTTTATTTTGACCTTGTTCTCTCAGAGGATGGCCTTGTGTTTGGGCCACATGAGGCCTTGACAATCAAAATGACCTTTGTGTTTTGCATCATTGGTTCTGTAACATTTGTAGTGGAGATAATTTTTAATTTTATTGAATATGACAAGGATAACAATACAGTAGAAGTGGTCAGTGAATTTGTAACATTTACAACATTACTTATTGAGGACCTCCCACAGATTGCTATAAATGTCCACATTGCTATGTGCAGAGAGGAGGCAACAAACACCATTCAAATCGTTAAGGCATCAGCAGCCATGTTTGAAGTTCTTATCAAGCTAGCTTTTGTCTGGATCAAATATGCGATTAAAAAAAGACAAGGAGGAAGAGAAGCTGACAAGATAAGAAAAGGTTTAACTATTTCCACTAGTGCTATTCTTGTGACAATATTTGCTCTTTGTGCTACTGTGTTTGTTCTGACCATAAATTTCCAGAAGTCCAGGATAGATTTTGAAAGTGATGGTTTATCAGATGAGGAAACTAATAAGTATTTACAGGGAGTCGGTATATTCATGAGTCTAAATACATCACACCTACAGATACCTAACATGGGTGACAATCAGTGGATGCGACTTGTAGACCTACAGGAGGTTACACGACTGTCTGATTCCTCAGCAGGTGTTGTCCTGAGCTATATGTTCACCACACTGCCTATTGTCTATATATGGGTGAGGAATCACTCGACATCAGCAGTAAACACAGTGTCATGTTATAGACAGGAATCCACAGTAATTCATAAAATATCAACACAAAACTGTTCCGATGTATTTTCTGTGACGGCAAACAGTACAAATGTATCACTAAAATTTACCTATATACCGCCAAATCGTCAACAGCCATTAGGTGACATACACAGCAATGTACAGGTACACCTTAACAAATGCACCGAGGAAGTACAACCAGATATTGTGTCCCTGAAATACTTCCAAGTGAAACCAGAGATCATAGGTCATATGACCTTAACCTCTACAGTGAATGGTGACCAGTATCGCTATTATAATGTACCAGAGGATCTTCTATCAGTTCGGGAGGTGTGGAAGACAGGCAAACTGCGGTGTGATAATACAGGACGGGAGGGTCCAAAAATGGACACAAAACTTTCCCTTTCATGTTTACCTTGACAACTACTTGTATATCTTTATTTTAACTCTACAGAAAATCAGGACATGGAGATGATTAGTAATGATGCATCCTCAGTATACAGTACCATAAAGATGTTTAATTCTACCAAAATACAGCAGAGCGACGCCATAAAATACAGCAGAGGGTATCCTAAAATACAGCGGAGGGTATCCTAAAATACAGCAGAGGGTATCCTAAAATACAGCAGAGGGGCTCCTTAAATACAGCAGAGAGACTCCATAGAATACCACAGAGGGTATCCTAAAATAAAGCAGAGGGTGTCCGTAAAATACAGTGGAGGGGCTCCTAAAATACAGCACAGAGACTCCATAAAGTACAGCAGAGAGGCTGTAAAATACAGCAGAGAGACTCCATAACATACGGCAGAAAGACTCCATAATATACAGCAAAGAGACTTCATAACATACAGCAGAGGGTTTCCGTAAAATACAGCAGTGGGTCTTCCTAAAATACAGCAGTGGGTCTCCCTAAAATACAGCAGAAGGGCTCCCTAAAATACAGCAGTGGGTCTCCCTAAAATATAGCGGAGGGTCTCCATAAAATACAGCAGTGGGTCTCCCTAAAATACAGCAGAGGGGCTCCCTAAAATACAGCGGAGGGACTCCATGAAATACAGCAGAAGGGCTCCCTAAAATACAGCGGAGGGTCTCCCTAAAATACAGCGGAGGGGCTCCATGAAATACAGCGGAGGGGCTCCATGAAATACAGCAGAGGGGCTCCCTAAAATACAGCTGAGGGGCTCCATGAAATACAGCAGAGGGGCTCCATAAAATACAGCAGAAGGGCTCCCTAAAATACAGCAGAGGGGCTCCCTAAAATACAGCAGAGAGGCTCCATGAAATACAGCGGATGGGCTCCATGAAATACAGCGGAGGGGCTCCATGAAATACAGCGGAGGGGCTCCCTAAAATACAGCGGAGGGGCTCCATGAAATAGAGCAGAAGGGCTACCTAAAATACAGCAGAAGGGCTCCATGAAATACAGCAGAGGGGCTCCCTAAAATACAGCAGTGGGTCTCCCTAACATACAGTGGAGGGGCTCCCTAGAATACAGCGGAGGGGCTCCCTAAAATACAGCTGAGGGTCTACCTAAAATACAGCAGAGGGGCTCCATGAAATATAGCGGAGGGTCTCCATAAAATACAGCAGAGGGGCTCCATGAAATACAGCAGAGGGGCTCCCTAAAATACAGCGGAGGGGCTCCATGGAATACAGCAGAAGGGCTACCTAAAATATAGCCGAGGGTCTCCCTAAAATACAGCGGAGGGGCTCCATGAAATAGAGCAGAAGGGCTACCTAAAATACAGCAGTGGGTCTCCCTAAAATACAGCAGAAGGGCTCCCTAAAATACAGCGGAGGGGCTCCCTAAAATACAGCAGAGGGGCTCCATGAAATACAGCGGAGGGGCTCCCTAAAATACAGCGGAGGGGCTCCATGAAATACAGCAGAAGGGCTCCCTAAAATACAGCGGAGGGTCTCCCTAAAATACAGCGGAGGGGCTCCATGAAATACAGCAGAGGGGCTCCCTAAAATACAGGGGAGGGGCTCCATGAAATACAGCAGAAGGGCTCCCTAAAATACAGCAGTGGGTCTCCCTGAAATACATCAGTGGGTCTCCCTAAAATACAGCGGAGGGGCTCACTAAAATACAGCAGAGGGGCTCCATGAAATACAGCGGAGGGTCTCCATAAAATACAGCAGTGGGGCTCTGTAAAATTGACTTATTCTAAGACTTGTCTCATAAATCTCCTATAGAATGGCAACTCTTGCCTAACTTTTTAATTGTAACTTCTGTAAACTCCAAATATGATCTGTCATATGAATTAAGGTAGAATCTGTTTCACATGAATATGTCATTGTTTGTTGTGTAAAACCTTTATTTGATCTAGAATGTCATAACTTATTCTGTTTGTGCTAAGTCGGGTGACAATTGCAACAAACTTGGAGTAAATTAATATAAATTTATTTTGTTTTGTCAACCCATTTTGCCCAGTACTGAGAGATTCATCACACATAATGTGGGCAAACATAAATCGTAACGTTAATAAAGGAGGTGATGTGTGTGACCTTCTATGACCTTCTATGACCTATAGAATCTATAAGGGTTAGCAATTAAACCTTACAGGTTAACTTCTTTAATGGCAAAGTTACTGAGTAAATTGAATGTCTCTTCGGATGATTATAAAATAGAGAATAAAATAAGAAAATTAACAAATTTAACAAAAAAGTAATAAACCAGTAGTGGACTCTGATAGGTAACCTAACGTAATCTTAGTTGTTTCTGCTTCTGAGGTGTTAGACAAGGAAGCGGTGTCTGCACTGTCTGAAAGGGCTAGGTCTTTCAAAAACCATTCTATCACGTTATCACATTCTGAAACAGGTTGATATTGGTCGTGTTGTGGACCGACCACTGTTCAGTTGTTTCCTTGTTAAGGATTCGAAAGGATGATTGTTGTCCCTTTTCTTGCTTGTATTCTGTTTTCATCTTCAAACGATTTCCACTCCACACAGTATTCAGGATGCATATTCTTTAACTGAGGATTGTAGGCGTCTTTTCTCTCGTATCAGCGTTGTGCCCAAATCCTATTAAGAGATTCCCTGCTGCTGATATTACATCTATTTGGTGTTCTCTTTTGGTGAATCTCTTGATTAGATTAGCACAAAATGCAAAATATGAAATAAGAGGCCCACAGCCCTTAAGGGTCATGTGACTATTAAGACCTTTATATAAAAGAGGCCAAATATGCCTAAAATAAATTGCACAACTACACTACAGCTTACATGGAAGACATTGGTTGGTTAATAAAGACGTTTCCTGTCAACTTGAAATCATATTCTTTATACATGCGCTACACAAATGCTAATAGTCCAGACACACTACTTGTTGAACAATAGGCCTGGCTGCCTTGACGGTCACTTAAGAAAAGCAATATTGAATATAAATGTTAAAGGGAAAGTAGCTTTTAAGTCTCATGAAAAAGGAATTGTGACATAGATGCTAGTAAGCCAGTGTCAGTACATGCATACCATTAAAACTGTCATCCTATACTAATAAATCTTATAAAGTTATCTCCAGTGGGAAATAAACAACATTATGCTCAAATGCCTAACTGCATATCACATAAGGAAATAGAATATGTCATAATGAGATCATTATGATGACCCTTATTCTTCCTCATTATCATCATAAAGTTGTGCAAGGTTTCAATGGGTATGACCTTTCCGTTAGATATCAAACTTTGATCAGGAAATATCACTTATATGTACTTGGTTTAATCACAAACATGAGTTTAAAATACCTATTGATAGTTGTAACATTCTTGTCAAACTGTGATTGATAATTCAATATTCAGAAAATAAAGTTACATGTCATCAGAAGTGTAAGTGTGTAGGACAGTACTCTTGTCCCATATTCAATGAAAGAAAGATTCTTTCATAAAAACAAATGATTTTCAGTTCTAAGATTTAAGGTCATCTTTGTAATCAGACCTTGTTGTGGAATGAAAATTAAGAGTTCTGAACATTGGTAAAAAGTGTAATAAATCCTAGTGAACTAAGACAGCTGAAGATTGGTGTAGTTATTCCTAGTGATCTAAGACAGCTGAAGATTGGTGTAGTTATTCCTAGTGATCTAAGACAGCTGAAGATTGGTGTAGTTATTCCTAGTGAACTAAGACAGCTGAAGATTGGTGTAGTTATTCCTAGTGAACTAAGACTGCTGAAGATTGGTGTAGTTATTCCTAGTGATCTAAGACAGCTGAAGATTGGTGTAGTTATTCCTAGTGAACTAAGACAGCTGAAGATTGGTGTAGTTATTCCTAGTGATCTAAGACAGCTGAAGATTGGTGTTAATATTCCTAGTGATCTAAGACAGCTGAAGATTGGTGTAGTTATTCCTAGTGAACTAAGACAGCTGAAGATTGGTGTAGTTATTCCTAGTGATCTAAGACTGCTGAAGATTGGTGTTAATATTCCTAGTGATCTAAGACTGCTGAAGATTGGTGTAGTTATTCCTAGTGAACTAAGACTGCTGAAGATTGGTGTTAATATTCCTAGTGATCTAAGTTGGTGTAGTTATTCTGCTAAGACTGCTGAAGATTGGTGTAAGATTGGTGAAGATTGGTGTATTCCTAGTGAACTAAGACTGCTGAAGATTGGTGTAGTTATTCCTAGTGAACTAAGACAGCTGAAGATTGGTGTAGTTATTCCTAGTGAATTAAGACAGCTGAAGATTGGTGTAGTTATGATCTAAGACTGAAGATTGGTGTAGTTATTCCTAGTGAACTAAGACAAGCTGAAGATTGGTGTAGTTATTCCTAGTGAACTAAGACTGCTGAAGATTGGTGTAGTTATTCCTAGTGAACTAAGACTGCTGAAGATTGGTGTAGTTATTCCTAGTGAACTAAGACTGCTGAAGATTGGTGTAGTTATTCCTAGTGATCTAAGACTGCTGAAGATTGGTGTAGTTATTCCTAGTGAACTAAGACTGCTGAAGATTGGTGTAGTTATTCCTAGTGATCTAAGACTGCTGAAGATTGGTGTAGTTATTCCTAGTGAACTAAGACTGCTGAAGATTGGTGTAGTTATTCCTAGTGAACTAAGACTGCTGAAGATTGGTGTAGTTATTCCTAGTGAACTAAGACTGCTGAAGATTGGTGTAGTTATTCCTAGTGAACTAAGACTGCTGAAGATTGGTGTAGTTATTCCTAGTGAACTAAGACTGCTGAAGATTGGTGTAGTTATTCCTAGTGAACTAAGACTGCTGAAGCTGAAGATTGGTGTAGTTATCCTAGTGATTCTAAGATTGGTGTTAATATTCCTAGTGATCTAAGACTGCTGAAGATTGGTGTAGTTATTCCTAGTGATCTAAGACTGCTGAAGATTGGTGTAGTTATTCCTAGTGAACTAAGACTGCTGAAGATTGGTGTAGTTATTCCTAGTGAAAGATTGGTGTAGTTATTCCTAGTGAGACCTAGTGAACTGAAAGATTGGTGTTAATATTCCTAGTTATTTGGTGTAGTTATTCCTAGTGAACTAAGACTGCTGAAGATTGGTGTAGTTATTCCTAGTGAACTAAGACTGCTGAAGATTGGTGTAGTTATTCCTAGTGAACTAAGACTGCTGAAGATTGGTGTTAATATTCCTAGTGATCTAAGACTGCTGAAGATTGGTGTAGTTATTCCTAGTGAACTAAGACTGCTGAAGATTGGTGTTAATATTCCTAGTGATCTAAGACAGCTGAAGATTGGTGTAGTTATTCCTAGTGAACTAAGACTGCTGAAGATTGGTGTAGTTATTCCTAGTGAACTAAGACTGAAGATTGGTGTAGTTATTCCTGAAGACTGCTGATTGGTGTAGTATTCCTATATTCCTAGTGATCTAAGACTGCTGAAGATTGGTGTAGTTATTCCTAGTGAACTAAGACTGCTGTGAAGATTGGTGTGTAGTTATTCCTAGTGAACTAAGACAGCTGAAGATTGGTGTAGTTATTCCTAGTGAACTAAGACAGCTGAAGATTGGTGTAGTTATTCCTAGTGATCTAAGACAGCTGAAGATTGGTGTAGTTATTCCTAGTGAACTAAGACAGCTGAAGATTGGTGTAGTTATTCCTAGTGAACTAAGACAGCTGAAGATTGGTGTAGTTATTCCTAGTGAACTAAGACTGCTGAAGATTGGTGTAGTTATTCCTAGTGAACTAAGACAGCTGAACTAAGACTGCTGAGATTGGTGTAGTTCCTAGTGAACTAAGACCTGAAGATTGGTGTATTCCTAGTGATCTAAGACAGCTGAAGATTGGTGTTAATATTCCTAGTGATCTAAGACAGCTGAAGATTGGTGTAGTTATTCCTAGTGAATTAAGACTGCTGAAGATTGGTGTAGTTATTCCTAGTGAACTAAGACAGCTGAAGATTGGTGTAGTTATTCCTAGTGAACTAAGACAGCTGAAGATTGGTGTAGTTATTCCTAGTGAATTAAGACAGCTGAAGATTGGTGTAGTTATTCCTAGTGATCTAAGACAGCTGAAGATTGGTGTAGTTATTCCTAGTGAATTAAGACTGCTGAAGATTGGTGTAGTTATTCCTAGTGAACTAAGACTGCTGAAGATTGGTGTAGTTATTCCTAGTGAACTAAGACTGCTGAAGATTGGTGTAGTTATTCCTAGTGATCTAAGACTGCTGAAGATTGGTGTAGTTATTCCTAGTGATCTAAGACTAGTGATCTAAACTAAGACTGCTGAAGATTGGTGTAGTTATTCCTAGTGAACTAAGACTGCTGAAGATTGGTGTAGTTATTCCTAGTGAACTAAGACAGCTGAAGATTGGTGTAGTTATTCCTAGTGAACTAAGACTGCTGAAGATTGGTGTAGTTATTCCTAGTGAACTAAGACTGCTGAAGATTGGTGTAGTTATTCCTAGTGATCTAAGACTGCTGAAGATTGGTGTATTCCTAGTGAACTAAGACTGAAGATTGGTGTAGTTATTCCTAGTGATCCTAAGACTGCTGAAGATTGGTGTAGTTATTCCTAGTGAACTAAGACTGCTGAAGATTGGTGTAGTTATTCCTAGTGAACTAAGACTGCTGAAGATTGGTGTAGTTATTCCTAGTGAAAGATTAAGACCTAGCTAAGAGATTGGTGTAGTTATTCCTAGTGAACTAAGACTGCTGAAGATTGGTGTAGTTATTCCTAGTGAACTAAGACTGCTGAAGATTGGTGTAGTTATTCCTAGTGAACTAAGACTGCTGAAGATTGGTGTAGTTATTCCTAGTGAACTAAGACTGCTGAAGATTGGTGTAGTTATTCCTAGTGAACTAAGACTGCTGAAGATTGGTGTAGTTATTCCTAGTGAACTAAGACTGCTGAAGATTGGTGTAGTTATTCCTAGTGAACTAAGACAGCTGAAGATTGGTGTAGTTATTCCTAGTGATCTAAGACTGCTGAAGATTGGTGTAGTTATTCCTAGTGAACTAAGACTGCTGAAGATTGGTGTTAATATTCCTAGTGATCTAAGACTGCTGAAGATTGGTGTAGTTATTCCTAGTGAACTAAGACTGCTGAAGATTGGTGTAGTTATTCCTAGTGAACTAAGACTGCTGAAGATTGGTGTAGTTATTCCTAGTGATCTAAGACTGCTGAAGATTGGTGTAGTTATTCCTAGTGAACTAAGACAGCTGAAGATTGGTGTAGTTATTCCTAGTGAACTAAGACAGCTGAAGATTGGTGTAGTTATTCCTAGTGATCTAAGACTGCTGAAGATTGGTGTAGTTATTCCTAGTGAACTAAGACAGCTGAAGATTGGTGTAGTTATTCCTAGTGAACTAAGACTGCTGAAGATTGGTGTAGTTATTCCTAGTGAACTAAGACTGCTGAAGATTGGTGTAGTTATTCCTAGTGAACTAAGACTGCTGAAGATTGGTGTAGTTATTCCTAGTGAACTAAGACTCCTAGTGAACTAAGACTGCTGAAGATTGGTGTAGTTATTCCTAGTGAACTAAGACTGCTGAAGATTGGTGTAGTTATTCCTAGTGAACTAAGACTGCTGAAGATTGGTGTAGTTATTCCTAGTGAACTAAGACTGCTGAAGATTGGTGTTAATATTCCTAGTGAACTAAGACTGCTGAAGATTGGTGTAGTTATTCCTAGTGATCTAAGACTGCTGAAGATTGGTGTAGTTATTCCTAGTGATCTAAGACTGCTGAAGATTGGTGTAGTTATTCCTAGTGAACTAAGACAGCTGAAGATTGGTGTTAATATTCCTAGTGATCTAAGACAGCTGAAGATTGGTGTAGTTATTCCTAGTGATCTAAGACTGCTGAAGATTGGTGTAGTTATTCCTAGTGAACTAAGACTGCTGAAGATTGGTGTAGTTATTCCTAGTGAACTAAGACTGCTGAAGATTGGTGTAGTTATTCCTAGTGAACTAAGACTGCTGAAGATTGGTGTAGTTATTCCTAGTGAACTAAGACAGCTGAAGATTGGTGTAGTTATTCCTAGTGATCTAAGACAGCTGAAGATTGGTGTAGTTATTCCTAGTGAACTAAGACTGCTGAAGATTGGTGTTAATATTCCTAGTGATCTAAGACTGCTGAAGATTGGTGTAGTTATTCCTAGTGAACTAAGACAGCTGAAGATTGGTGTTAATATTCCTAGTGATCTAAGACAGCTGAAGATTGGTGTAGTTATTCCTAGTGAACTAAGACTGCTGAAGATTGGTGTAGTTATTCCTAGTGATCTAAGACAGCTGAAGATTGGTGTAGTTATTCCTAGTGAACTAAGACAGCTGAAGATTGGTGTAGTTATTCCTAGTGATCTAAGACAGCTGAAGATTGGTGTAGTTATTCCTAGTGATCTAAGACAGCTGAAGATTGGT